TTATTATTATTATTATTATTATTATTATTATTATTATTATTATTATTTTCCCCCCGATCTAATCTGATTTATAGGGAATAAAAGAGCGCTTTTGTCCTGATCCAAGAAGGACCGTCACCAAATCATGGAATGCTCGGGGTGGGAAGGGACCTTCGAGGTCATCTCATTCCACCCCCTGCCATGGGACACTTCCCACTATCTCAGGTTGCTCCAACCTGGCCTTGGACACTTCCAGGCACGGAGCAGCCACAGCTCCTCTGGGAATTCTCTTCCAAGGCCTCACCATAAAAAACTTCGGCTCCTCTTCCTCAAATAATGGCGTTCTGACCAAAAATTCGTAGGATACGGATCCTATTTTATGCTCTTCTGGGTTTTTTCCTCTCTCTTTTTTATCAATCCTTGTTTTTCCAAGCCAAAAAAGGCAGATTTTGTTGCTTTTCTCGCCACTCCAAATCCTGGAGCTTCGCAGGAAGCACCAGGGGACACATTCCCAAGGGAGGATGAAGGTGTCCTGGGTGTCATCCAAGGGAAATTGGAATACCTGGATGCGTTTTGGACGGTGAGAACTGTGTTTAACTCTGCAGCTCTCTTGGAATTACTCCCAAAACTCACCTACAGGGAGCTGGGGGGGCTGAATTCGGAGAAAAGGAGGTTCAGGAGGGACCAATATCCCATCTAACCCTGGGAAGCCATTCCCTGTGTCCCATCCCTCCAGCCCTTGTCCCAAGTCCCTCTCCTGCTCTCCGTGAGCCTCCAGAGAAGGAAAATGACCTTGAAAGGTCACTTCCAACCCAAATTGTTCCGTGATTCCACGAAAATAAACAGGAAAAGCCGCTCAAGCTTTGAGTAAGTGAGGGAAAACCGGGATATTTTGGGCTGGAAAGGATCTTAAAGCTCGTCCAGCCCCACCTGCCCTGGCACAGTCTGGAATTTCCAGCCCTGGAAAGGATTCAGTGTCCCTGTGGATGTGGCACCTGGGGGGGACACGGATCAGTGGTGGCCTTGGCAGTGCAATGTTGGGTTCAACGACCTCACAGAGGGCTTTTCCAAGCTAAATGATTCCGTGGCTTTGTATCCCAGAGATCCCTGGGCCACCCATCCCCGGCACCCACACGGGCAGGAGGCACCGAAAGCAGAACTTCAGCCCCTGCTCGTCCCTTTCCACCCTTTGGGGCTCGGAAGGGGATGATCCTTTAAGGTTCCCTTCCAGCCCCAAGCCATTCCATGATTCCATTCCAGGCCACAGCCTCCCTCCCCTCTCTGCCTGGAGCTTCCTGGGAAGGTTTGGGAAGGTTTGGGAAGGGAAGGGAAAAGAAGGGAAGGTTTGGGAAGGTCTGGGAAGGTTTGGGAAGGGAAGGTTTGGGAAGGTTTGGGAAGGTTTGGGAAGGTTTGGGAAGGTTTGGGAAGGGAAGGTTTGGGAAGGTTTGGGAAGGGAAGGTTTGGGAAGGGAAGGTTTGGGAAGGGAAGGTTTGGGAAGGTTTGGGAAGGTTTGGGAAGGTTTGGGAAGGTTTGGGAAGGGAAGGTTTGGGAAGGGAAGGGAAGGTGTGTGGAGACCAAAGGAGATCCAGGAAGAAACCTGGATGAGTCCCTTTAGAGAGCTGAGGGGAGCAGGGGGTGCCCTTAAATCCTTCTGGAATGGTTTGAGTTGGAAGGGCCCCTAAAGAACACCTGGATCCAAGCCCGAGTTGTCCCAGGCCCTCCTTCCTGGGGGGTGAATTCCATGGATGTGGGATTTGGTTCAGGCAGGACGTGCCAGCACTCCTGAGGCTCCTGCAGTGTGGAGGGGCGGGGTTAGGTGGGATATCGGGAACAAATTCCTCCCCGTGACGTGGAATAGGACAGAATTCCCAGAGAAGCTGTGGCTGCCCCATCCCTGGAAGTGTTCAAGTCCAGCTTGGAGCAACCTGGGATGGTGGAAGGTGTCTCTGCCCATGAGGTTCTTGTTGCAATCAACACTTTTAGCAGTAGTTTCCCTTTGTATCATTGTCCCTCCCCTCCTTTTCACAGTTTGTTCGGTGTTTCTTTGCCTCTTTGTGTTAAATTTGATTATTTTCTCTTTTCTCTTTCCCCTCTATTTTTGGCAGGGTTTTTTTCTGGGCTTGTCTCTCAATCTTGATTTGTTTAATCAGGGCTTTCCAACCAGGTGTTTTCTCACCTTTTTTTTTTTGGCAGCTTTCCCCCCCCCTCAGAAGGCCTTTGCTGGGTGGTTTATTGTTGGCCTTTATTCTGGTGGAAATCTATGTATTTACTCAGAACAGGAGTCTTTTTGTTTTTTTTTTTAAATCTTCAGGGTCTTATTTTTCCTTCTCCATCA